GACACGCACTCACACACACACACACACACACACACACACAAAGACTGTATTCTTCACTTACAGGTCACAGATCAGAGCATTGCTTCATAAGGGAACAATATACAGTATACACAGCTATTAGATTTTATCATTTATTTTTATCATCAGAACAGTATTGTTATTGTTAACTAAAACTAGAAGTATTAAAAATTGTTTTTGGTAATTGAAATAAAGTTGAAATACACAATAAAATAAAAAATATAAACAATATAAAAGTTATAATATAATATATATAAAATGTAAAATTAAAATGGAAATATTAGATAAAAAACTTAAACAAAAAAATTACCAAAAAAATGTAAATGTTGTCTTGGCAACTATGCAAAATATATAGCCGAAGCACTAAAATTACTGAAACTAAAACTGAAATAAAAATAAATTAAAGCTAAAAAACAAATAAAAATGACAAAAGCATATAAAAAATTACAAAAACTTAAAATTCAGATTATTCATATATACTATAATAGAACATAAATAATGCAGAAATAACACTGAATCAGAGCTGTGTTTATGTGGCAAAACACTCACAATCTCTATTAGGATAACAGCATTAAACTCGAAATTTATTATGAAGATAAATTAAGACTAAATTCAAATTTTAAATGTAATTTTTTAAAAGACTAAAAACTAAAAACGAATAAAATTAGAAACAGCTTAATTTAAGCCGAAATCAGTGTGATGAACAGTAGATAAATATTTTAAACAGATTTTTAAATGTATTTGTAATTTAAATTTTTTTTAAAAACTTTTTTAAAGACAATGCAAGGCCTCAAATGAATCAGTAATCGTTTTAATCATTTTTGAATATTCTGAATCATTGATTTTTGTTGTATGGAGATGAGCAGCGTGACCATTCTGCCCAGTATCTCCTTTTATGTTCCACAGAAAGAAGAAGGTCATACAGGTTTGGAGCAACATGAAAGTGAGTAAATAATGACTGATGTTATGTGAACTATTCATTTTTTGTTGATAGCTTCATTAAAAATCAGTAAAATCTTACAGTTAAACCCCTGATTGTGTGTTTTTGCATCTGTAGGTTAATATGATGGTAGTCTCCAGTTAAACTGAGAAAGTGTTCCAGCGAGTGCTAATGATAATAATGTCCATAGAGTCTCAGAAGGAGAGCGTTTCAGAGAGTGTGATATGAATGCATGTGATGGCAATGAGGGGCTTTTTGTCTTCAGAGCCGCTGAAACTGTATCCTCCACTCGAGCTCTCGTTCCCTGCAGCGGGAATGACAACCTGTGTTGGCGTTTAGCGCTTCAGTTCACTTGTGAGGGTGTTTACGTGGCCCTGCTTTCACCCGCCGCCGCTGGCGAGAGTCACAGACACAAAAATGAACACAATCCCTTGTGCTGAGAACTACTAGTACTTACAATACCTATGATTTAAAGAGACAGTTCACACAAAAACACCAATTCTGTCTTCATTTACTCATGTGTGCACTGCATACATTTAAGAAGATATTTTGAAGAATGTTGGTAACAAATTTGTTTTGAACATTGGCTTCTATTTTAGGAACACAAAGGATATTTCTCAAAATGAAAAAGCCATACAGGTTTGGATTGATGTAAGGAAGAAAAATCATTTTTGGGTGAACTGTCCCTTTAAATGAATTAAGCTAATTAAACATAGTACTCACAAAATATTTGCAGTGAGTTTAAGGTACTTTTTAATTGGCCATTAATTTCCCCAAGAGTGTGTCATTAGACAAATTTTTCAATGTTTTAAGAGCATCTCTCATTTGAACTTTTGTAGCAAAAAGTTGGCATGATTCTTTCGGAGAATTGATTCAAACAGTCAATTGATTCAATTCAGTGATTCTTTTGTGCTATAATTTGTTCCAAAAATGTTCACAGGATGATTTTAAGGCACTTTTAATTTGGCCATTCATTTTGCTAAAAGAGTGTGATAATAGACTAGTTTCATGATGTTTTATTAGCATCTCTCGCTTAAACTTCAGGAGAAGCTAACACTGAATCAGAGCTGTCAAAATCTCCATTAGGATTACAGCATTAAACTCAAAATCTAGTAAGTAAAATGAAAGCAAACAAACAAAACTAGAAAGTAAACAAACAAACAAAACGTGTTTAAAGCTGGCTTGTTTGATTCATTTTTGAGCTCAAATTTATATTTATGCTTAATTATTTTAAGACAATTCTTAATTGGCCATTCATTTTCCCAGAAGAGTGAGTGATTAGACTAGTTTCATGATGTTTTAATTGCATCTCTCATTCAAACTTCAGCAGCAAAAAGCTGTTATGTTTGATTCCCTTTCAGAGAATCTGTTTCAGTGAATCAAAACTATGATTCATTCATTCTTTTGTAAAGTAAAATAAAAAAACAAATCTAAATCTCCATTAGGATAACAGCATTAAACTCCAAATTTAGAAAGTAAACAAGACTAGAAACAACACACATTTGAGTTCTTTAATAGCAAAAAGTTGGCAAATTTGATTCACACTGGTGAATCAATTCAAACTGTTCAGTGAGTCGATTCAAAACTCTGATTCAGTAATTATTTAGTGTCATAATTTTATGCCAAATATGTTGACTGAAGTCTCAAGTGGCATTTAACATGTTAAAATGAATGATCATGCTTGTACGTGGCTTTGTTTTTTTAAATATATGAGACTCTTGTGTGGGTCAAATAGTTAAAATAGGTCTTAAAGGTACTAAAAATGTTGATGATTAGTTTAATTGTAGCAGTAAGTCAATGGGAAGCCAGCATGACGATGGAGAGATATAATGACGTTTGCCCTTTGGCTACTGAACCATTTTCTTCTCTATTTCCGCAGATTGTTATCCAGTCCTCTGAATGAGCAGGTGTTTGAGACGAAACACGGAGGAGAAATGAGTATCCAGGCTCAAAGGTAATGGCATGAAGCCTCTGGCCCGGGGAAACTGAACTTGCCCGTGCAAGGATGCATCCGGGACGGGGCCACGCTTCATTTGGGCTCTGAGAGCAGCTGTCAATCTCAGGTTACAGGATATGATTAAAGCCAGCCGAGATCCTCCTATACTTCCCATCTTTCCACACATCCACAGCGGGACCCTCGCCAGATCCTCCTCTTTCCTCCTAAAAGCTGCTTTCAGCTCGGTTAGGAGTCATAATTTAAGGTTTTCTGGTCTGCTGCACATTAAAGCCTTGTAATTTACCACAAGTATTTTTCTCATCACTGCAAAAACATCTTAATAATTTCTTAATTTTGTCTTATTTTCCCACTAAAATTATGAAAACATCCTTTTTGCGGTATTTAAGTGTAATTTAGGTTGAATTCAAGTAGATGGATGACACATGCACGACAATTAAAAGTGTTTTGATGCAACCACAGCTGAAAAACAAACAAACAAACAAAAAACTAATTATTTTCTTAATTTTGTCTTATGTTTCCCATTAAAATCATGTTAACATACCTTAAAAAATAAATAATGAATTAAAAAAATTAATTATATTTATTGAGAAGCAAAATTGTATAGAATAAAACTTAAATGAAGTGTGTTTGTCTTAAGCAAGAAAAAACAATATACAAATGGTGTAATAAAAATAAACGTAAAACACATTTTTGATTAGATGTATATTGTTTTAAGGGTGTTTGGATATTTCACCTTAAAAACAAGACAAAGACACTCTTTTCCCAGAGTTTAAGTGTCATTTAAGTTGAATTAAAATGGATTTATGACATGCATATTATATTTTTTGAGAAGCAAAATTGTATAGAATAAAACTTGAATGAAGTGTGTTTGTCTTAAGCAAGAAAAAACAATATGCAAATGGTGTAATAAAAATAAACATTTTTGATTAGATGTATATTGTTTTAAGGGTGTTTGGATATTTCACCTTAAAAACAAGACAAAGACACTCTTTTCCCAGAGTTTAAGTGTCATTTAAGTTGAATTAAAATGGATTTATGACATGCATGACATCTTTAAACCCAACAGCGATTGACAGGAGCATTTTAATAACATGCATCTGCCAAAAAAAAAAAAAAAACTTAATAATATTCCTAATTTTATCTAATTTTCCCATGACAATCTTGAAAAACATGCATAAAAATATAAATTTTATTTTAAGAAAAATTTATTTTAAATGTCTTGACAAGCAACATTGTGTACAATAAGCCTTAAATGAAGTGTATTTGTCTTAGATCTGTACTTAAAACAAGAAAAAACAATATGCAGTAGGATAATAAAAAAAAACAACAATAACATTTCGAATAATTTTGGTTAATTGTATATTGTTTTAAGGATATTTGGATATTTTAACTTAAAAACAAGACATTTTTTGTGTTTAAGTGCCATTTAGGTTGAATTAAAGCAGATGGATGATGTGTGCATGACATAATTAAACCCGACAGTGATTGACAGGAGTGTTTTGATGGCATGCATGCGCAGCTGAAGAGCTCCAGTGCAGCGCTGCGCTCGGATTCAACACCTACAGCATTTCAGCTGAAGTTTCCCTCCCCAAACAAGCTTATGAAATCGGCCAACTGGAGTTTCAGCTGTCGCAGCGCTGGGAATCAAAGATGAATGGGAATATGAAATGCAGCACAGTGGGCCTTTAGTGTGCGCATGTATTTACTCATGTAATTATTAATATGGGGCTGGGAGTAAATAAACTAAAGTCAGTGTGATGCGGCACAAGTTAATCTTCACAGTCAAAGGCATCTGTGAGCGTCAGAACTTGCTGGTTCATACTGGAGGGTAGTTTCGTGTGTTTTCATAGTTGCAGCAGGTTGTGGTGTGGGTTTCAACTTAACTAAATAGCTAGTAATCATCATATGGGTTGGTCAGTGGCTGATATCTAGCTATATAAAGTAGGGCAGCAGATAGTCAATAAAAAACCGATATATATGCAATACAAAAAAAAAAAACATACTTTCTTATTGCACATTGTTTGTATTGAGAACTATTAATTTGTGCACATTATTCCAAAGAATTAAAGTCATTTTTAATGAAATAACAGAGATTCAAAGATGTGCATTTTTTCCTTACTGTCTTCAATCACCAAACATGTCAGGGTTATTATAGTTAACTAAAACTAAAAACATTAAAAAAAACATTTTTGTTACTTGAAATAAACTTTAACTGAAATACAATAAAATATAAAAAAACGAACTATAGTCGTTTCATGTATTTAACTTATGCTAAAATAAATATTAATAAAAACTAACATGAAATAAACTAAAACTATATAGACATATAAAAAAAACTATATAGACATATAAAAAAATATAAAAATTACAAAAATTACTATAGAACTCAAATTAAATTGATTAATTAAAACTTAAATAAATAATTAATAAAAACTTTATATACATTTAAAAAAACAAAAACTAATAAAAATGACAAAATCAACAGAATTATAAAACTAAAATTAAAATGAAAACAAAAAATAAATAAACAAAAACTAATTCAAAATATTAAGAAAACCTATAATACTATCTGAAGTATACTATTGTTATTTATTCATTCATTCATTTTTTACATTTAATTGTTTTTCTTTCTTTTTTTATCTCCTTGGAAATCAGCCAGCTGGCTAATCCTGGCACATTTATAGAAATGTTATTTAATGTTTATTGTCCTTATAAACAAACAAATAAACAAGTCCACTGGTTTAAATTTTTGCAAATTATAGGTTTTCTTATGAACTTATGTGTGCATTGCAGCCCACATCACAACACATATGCAATTTGCCCGCATGGACCGAACATGCAGGAATTATGTTGTGTGTGCATGTTTATGAATCTCTTCCATTTGTATATACTGAGATAACATGTATATGATTCTGTGGAGATGTCCTCTATGTGTTCACCTTCCTTTGACATGCAGCTGTCTGGAGATTTCATAAAGCAAAGCCGACAGCTGCTGAAAGACAGTCGCACATCAAAACATTCCTGACGCAATCTAATTCCCTGCGTCTGACACTTACGTGATGTGTAAAATTTGTGTAAAACAGAGAATGTGTGAGATCAGCATTGTAAGTTGGCTTACTTTTTCCTGTTGTTCTCTATTGCAGTTACACAAACAACAACACAACGTCCTTCCGTCCAGCCTCAGTTGTTGCCCAGATGTCCAGTGACTCTTTCAGAACAACAGGAGCTCCAATAAACTGCAGCCTCAGGTTCAAAACCACTGGAAACACTCTACAAAACATTCACCGTAATAGTTTGGTTTAGTGAAGTTTATTGTCATTCCAATTGACTGCATTAGACTAACCGGGACTTGTCACAACATTTATATATTGTTGCTCTTTTGTTGTTTTGATTGCTTCTATTGCCCTAATTTGTAAGTCGCGTTGGATAAAAGCACCTGCTAAATGATTAAATGTAAAGGTAAAATACTATTAAACTATTTATTTCTTCATGAAATTTGGTGAATATTTTTCATTCTGGGTCATGAATGTGCATGCAAAGTTTCAACACATTGATGTGTTTTGGAAAGGCTGTACAAAATGTATTACAACCTTTGTGTTGGGGTCAAATTGACCCCCATTGGTCATTTTAGCCAAAAATCAACACTTTAAAAAACACTAAAGAGTCCGATAAAAAATAGAAAACCTTTATTGTAACTTATCAAACACTAAGAAATTAAATACATGAGAACATATTAAATTTAAGACTCAAAGTTTACTTGAAATCGAGACTCGTCTTCTGAATTATTCAAGGAAAATTCACTGTTTATTTATCGAGTTGAGTTTTAGTAAAAAAAAAAAAGAAATCTGTCAAAGGTTGTTTTGGTTGTTAATTTTTTTGGATCTCAATTTCTAGACTGTTGCAACACTGAAAAGAAGTGTGAGAAACCCATTTTACCCTCAAAAGGGTTTGAGAAAAAGTCAACAAAAGGCAGAGGAAGTACAAATAGCAATAAATACTATTATTTAACTAAATATCTAAGTTGTTGTCTCATGACTTGTCAGGTTTAATATTCACATCATGGGTAAGATTCTCATGCATGAACTGGTAAATGTATATCAGAAATGCAGAAATGCGAGTCACTTTGGATAAAAGTATCTGCTAAATGCATAAATGTAAGAGAAACAGTATGAGTAGCATGTTATTCTGAAGCAATTGTCTTTGTAATGCACAGCTTGTAGGAAGAGCATGGCATGTTGCACAAACTCTGAGCTGTGAACTACAGTCAGCGTCCTCCTCAGATCTGCTGTCTCTCTGGCCCACAGACTTCTGGGAATGCACACGTCTTTCATCACAGCTGCCACAGGGAGCCCTGTAATGACAAGCAACCCTGTCGCCTTGCAAAAGATGGATGCTTTTCCATGAGGGTAAGAGCGGGCTTCCGGACGTGTTTTCATTGTGTGCCTGTAATGGAGCAAGGCTCGTGCTCTGGCCCGCGTGCTGTAATCTGTGTTTCTCTGACAGAAGAACCGGAGACGTGGCCCGTGGGAGGATGTTGTCTCGAGTTCACTGCTACTCGCTGATGATAACCGACTTCCACCACCCTTAATCAGCTGGTGAAACGTGTACGCTCATTATAATGAATATCCTGGGGTAGATGTACATTTCTGTCCATGCTGTCTTCTGACTTCAGCGTAATTAGCACCCAGTCTGTCTGATCTGAGAGCAGAGAGCAGGAGTCTGAAGAGAGCGGGTCATATTTTTAATCATTGGTCTATGTATACAATACAATAGAGAAAAGGTACCAATTAAATAAACAGTGCTCTTCAGGTTTTCAGGAAGGCCTAACATTAGTTTTAGGTACAGAAATTGAATAAAGTAATCAAATGTAAAATAACACTGCATATTTGACTGTATAAATTAAAGATGAATCCTTATTAAATTTACAAAAGCCATTCAATCCAGAGCAGTGAGAGATTTCCTTGTCTTTTGTTGTTTGATGAACATTAAAAACTTAAGACAATGCACAGACCCAGGACACTGCTACTGTACGTTCAACAGACTATGGCAAGGCTTAAATGAGTTTAGTTTAAACACAGATAGCAACGTGTGCTGGAGGTCTCACTTGAAACATCCATTAGCCGAACTCTGTCTGTTTTACGTGTTGTTATTTTTAACAAAACATATTACAGATGCTTTGTCAGATTTAAGTTGAACCGCGGTGCAAGAGAACTGTATGGTTTGATTTATTTTTTTACCGAGAACCATTACTCCCCTAGTAAATAGCTATCATTTATTCTTAATGCAAGGCTTATTTTTACCGAGAACTGTTACACCCCTAGTAAATAGGCAAGGCTTATCTAGTAGAATGTACTAGTGCAGGGTTTTTTCTTTTGCTTAGATTTAGTCGTTGCTAAAGCAGGTCGTTTTTTGGGTGAATGTTCATCATTAATTTAAAGTGTTTTTGGACAAGCACTGAAAAGTAGCCTAGTCTTTGCACTTGTGATGAAACACAATCAGTTGGAGTGCTTGGAAATTGTTACGGCAGACATAACAAGTCTGGACTGCCCGTAGGTGTCCATTTAATAATGGGTCATGTTGAAAGATGGGATCCAGTTTGAGTTGAAGCAATATATTCTGGGCAAGGCTTCATTTTGATGCTTTTTTTTTTTTTTTCAGAAAACAAGACGTAGTATCTTATGTTATGTTGCTTCTAAACGTGTCTTGATTTCAGAATATTTAGATATTTGTACTGGAAAACAAGACAAAAAAATGAGTAAGAAAATCATTTTTTTTTGCAGTTTAGTTCTTGAACATATACATTATTCCACTGATGTGGATGAAACACTGTACTAAAATACTTTGAGCCAGTACTGAATCTACAGCTTTACGGCTAAAGAAATTATGTTTTTGTGATATTTTAAGTGTGAATTGAATGTGATGAGAGAAAAAAGGCACTATGAAATAATGCAAAGACCATGCATAACTCGTCTTTCTATTGTATTGTCTTTGCTGGCTGCACAAAACGCAAACATACAGTGATTCACAAATGAATGTCTCTCATGAACCGGTTCTTGTGAAACGTTTTCATGGGTCTTAAAGGAACCGTAATGGTTAAATTCCATCCTCCTCTGTTTCTTCTCTCTCTGCTCTTTTCCCTAAAAGTAATTTCATCATGTTTTTATCAGCAGTTCAGGGCTGCGGTATAATGAGCGCTTGTCTCTTATTGCTGTCTCTGAAATCCCCAGTAAAATCAGTCATCCATCAGTCAACACACTGTACAAATCCTCCCATTAGCAACACAAAATGTCTATGCTCTTACATGTTAATCCAGAGCTCGTATAATCTCATAATAACTATCTGAAGACTCTCCCAGTTATTTGTGTGTTTCACACGTATGCACTGCTTTCAAAAAGTGCTTTGCATGTTCTGGGAAGCCGGTTTCACGGTTTTAGTGCACTTTGAGTCGGTTTGACCTCAGCTTGCTTGGTTGATGTAAATGCGATCTGGGGTCAGCCGTTTGTGACGCCTGTTCAAAAATGCATTGCATTATCTTGCATAATCGTGCACAGTGAAATAATCTTTTTTTTAATTATTTAAATTGCATGTAGAAAAATGTCATATGATGTCATTTCTTTAACATTTCATTTGATATGCATCTTATTTTCCTGAAACACGCAAAACAAATACACAGCACAGGCAGTATAGTCCGATTTACAAACGATTGACTCTAATGAGACAGTTATTTTTAATGCATCACTTAAAATGATTCATAAATGAATTTCAAGTATATTTCAGTATATTTGTCAAGAACACACTTTCTCAGTTTAATTCAATGTGTTTCTTGCCATGTCTTGTAATTGTTTGTGAAATTTACTAGCAATTTCTGAATTTAAAAAAATTGTTCTAGAACGATTTTTTTTCAGTGTACTTCTTTTGAATAATTACTTTGTGACCATTAAAAAAGTATGTTACATTAGTGATATATACAGTAAATTCAGACATACTACTATTTCCACATAGTGTTTTTTGCTTACTATATATAGGGAAGTATGCATTTGGCCTAAAATGACTCACTCGTACACTGAATCAGTCAGAGTGGTTACTGAATTAACATTTGACTCACTCACTATTCACAATTCATTAACATAGTCAAATATACAATTCCAAACCAAGAATCAGCACGATTATTGACTTGTGCTTCATTAAAGATACACTATTATTTGACACTTTCTCACAAATATTGAACGAATTCAATGATCTCTTCGTTTCTAGTACTAGTATGCAAGTACTAATAGTATGATGCCAACATAACAAAAATTACAGCTTTAAATTGGGACCAAACAGTTGAACTCTCAGCCTTGGTTTTATTCTGCTTCCTCTGTTATTATAAGCTGACGGGGTGGAAAGTGAAGCTTTAGCTCAGAGGCTGATCAGAAATCAGGACGGCGCTGCGAGTGGAGCGGTGCAGTCGCCACATTAAAAATGAATGTCTTACAGCGCTAGGCCTCAATGAGACCAATTTAATTTTTCTGTGCTAATTCTCTTGGAGTCTCTCCTCAAGCTTGATAAAATGCAGTACACACATTTTCACCTTGAAGATGTGAGGGTTTGCTGTGACGTCTTTGAAGTTTTCATCCGGAAAAAAAAAAGAGAGAAATACAAAGGTGTTTTCAGAATTGCACATTGCATGCCTGATTACAAGCTTTAATTCCCAGAGAATCTGAAGGTATCCCTGATGTCAACCGCTGGCTAAAGCAGAATAGAGCGAGCCGATAAATTATTAAAGCCGAAATTGATCTGTACTGATGCGCTTTTCTCAGACAGAAACTTTCTAGTCTGACTTTGAGGAAGGTTATTTGCTCATACTGTAAAAAACGAAGGTTGATCCTGTGCGATACGCATTTTTGCAATGCGTTTAGATGATTTGTGATTGTGAACGACTCAAATTACTGTCAATGTTTAACGTTTCAGAGGCAATTTGCACATTTTCAATGTACTGTCTCCAGTTTGATTAATTCCTTGTAGTGTAAATTGTGATTTTCCAGGGACTTTTTAATATGATACTGTATATTAAACATCAAGTATGTCATGTAAACTCATATCATGATTACAGAAAATAGTCCACAGGACTAGTAGTGCACTAAATCCAACTCCGCTGGCTAAAGCAGAATAGAGCGAGCCGATAAATTATTAAAGCCAAAATTGATCTGTACTGATGCGCTTTTCAGAAACTTTCTAGTCTGACTTTGAGGAAGGTTATTTGCTCATACTGTAAAAAACGAAGGTTGATCCTGTGCGATACGCATTTTTGCAATGCGTTTAGATGATTTGTGATTGTGAACGACTCAAATTACTGTCAATGTTTAACGTTTCAGAGGCAATTTGCACATTTTTCATGTGTTTGATTAAATCATTGTAGTGTAAATTGTGA